AAAAAAAAAAAAAAAAAAAGAAAAGAAAAGAAAATATCAGCAGTGGCAGTCATATTTCAGTGTGGTGCTGCTAGTTGCACATGGAGGAAACACTGCTCCTTTTGGTATGAGTTCTTCTGGGTCATCGTGTTCTTCTTCAGCAACGTGCACAGTTGCTTCGCTTTCAGGACTCTCTCTGGCAGCCATTCTCGCCTCTAAACTTTACTCTATGCTCTCACTCTCGCCTGCTCTAGCACGCCTGTGGTGTGCAGCAGTGAAATGGGTCTTGCCACGCACGTCCCGGACCCTGTTTGGGCTATTCACCAGTAGTGTGGTATATGAAAAATTCATATCATAACGAAAATAAATACCGGTTTTAGGTACGAACCGGCACACCGCACAGCCCTCGTGAATACTGAACTTACAATAATCAGCTTAACAGAAACACAACTTTAAATAAATTCTAATGTTGCCAAGTGAGTATTTTCTTTGTCAACTAATCTGACATTTTGTTTTTCATTCTAGATTTTTTCAGTCCATAAAATCATGGAAAATAGTACAACGTGCCTGACAATTTAAAAGACAAAATTAAGATGAAGTCATCAAATGTCTTGTTATGTCAAACCAACAGTACGATACTCAACAACATGCAGCTTACTGTGAAATAAGACAAGGGAAATCCTCACAACTAAGGGCTAATTTTTGGCATTATATGACGATTATCAAAATAGTTGCCAATCATCTTTCTGAAAATTGACTTATCATTTAAGCTCTAGCATAAAGGCCACCATTTTGGATATCGGCCAATCAATCAGCTATCAGCCTTTTCCACTTTCAAACTATCATTATTGTATCAGCCTTTTAAAATCCACAATCGGTCGACCTCTGGTCTGAAACTGTCCATTGTGTTGTTTTTTTCTGTTCTGTACCTTTTTTTACTGTATTTGTACATTTCATTTTTACACATTTGGATCTGAAGGTCATGTTTGATTTTTGTTTTGTTGATCATTGGCAGCACTTTCTAAAGCTTTTACTGCAGCACGTCTGTCGCTTACTATTTTTTTTTTCTATTTATCTGTATTTTTTTGTACATTCTAAAAAGTGAAGGTGACTCATTCACTTTCAGATGGTATGTGGCCAACATTGCACACATTCTACACTCAACTAAAAAAAAATGTAGAGTGGTTTGCAGTAAAAAGAAGCTGAATTATAAAAAGCACTTGAGTTCAGCAAAAGTTGTAAATTGTCTAAATTAACTCAGCTAATTGATGACTAACTTTGGCATAAAATGTAAACATCATTGACCGCCTGCCAAGTTTCAGTTAAGTTTTTCATGGTATAAAAAAGAGAATTACTCCGACTTCACTTAGAGCTGCCAGAGCTTGGTTTAACAACTGTGTAAACTGGCAACTTTTAGCCAAATGCGTCCATGGCTGTTTGTAGTAACTTGTGTAAATAGTTTGCGTAGATAAGTATGTATTTAAAATTGATTCCAGTAAAACTGAGGGCTTTGAGAGAGACACCTTCATGTTCTGCTCATGTTTTAACAGCTGCTGTCACTACGGGCGACACATTCACTTGAGTCACGGTCGCGATCTGTTTGTGATGCATGTGATTGCATTCAAATGCACATTTATGGGAGAAAGACGCCACTGCAGTAATGGCAACTTGTTTACTTCCAGTGCTGCCCCACATTTGTCTACAGGTAAACTTTACTCAAAAAGACTAATCTTCTATTCACCAAGTAATGTGACAATATTAACATCAGGTTGGTTATGGTTTTAAAGAAATAAGTGAGGTCACATATTTTCACTTTGTAAATTGTTAGCACTATAAAGACACCTATTTGTATCATTTTGGTACTTTATCTAAAGTGAAAGAGCTGTTTGTGATTAGTTGATTGCATATTTGCCTCTTAAAATAAGACTTTAAATGAATGAAGAATTGCAAATACTGTCAACTGACACACACGCAGGAGTGATCAAAACCTCCTAGTTCTATTAACACATATGATAAACTCCTGTATTAAAACACATCTGAGCATAGACACAAACCCACACACAAACTACAGAGGCTTGTGGGAGCAGCTTAAAGCAGCAGATCAGAGCCGGTGCTCCACCAGACAGCATGGGTCAGGGAACGCTCGTTCCTCTGCATCGATCTCCAATGATCTACTTCAGCAGGCCAAACTGCAGTCGATGGCCGAACAAACCACTGCCTCTTCCAGAGCCTTCAGAGAGGAGGCTGAGAGGGAGAGGAGAGGCAGCACAAACAAACACACTGCTCAGTTTACAGGAGCTTTAAATCTACAAAAACAGCCTCAACCAGCCCAAAGTTTGGAATGTGTTTGGAAGTTGTTGATTATTTGGTTTTAGTTTTATCAATTCTGACTGCAACTCCAATTCTTTTAACTTCTACCTGCTGCATAATGTTACACTTCCTCCCTGCATGAAAGCACCTCTGCACTGAGATTACACTTTGCTTTGTAAGCCATATTGCAAACCTTACACACTCAAAACGTCAATGTTTTGCTTTCAGGAAATGCAAGAGGAAAATTACAGCATGTTTCTTAGAAAAATCCCTAATTGTTACACCAGAGTGTCATATAAGACACAATGGAATAACAACAGCCAGTTCTCTGTATCCTCACGTAATTAACATTTAATGACCAAAACATCGTAAAATGCTGGACTTGTATTGTTGATATGTTAAATCCAGTAAGTTCTGAGCATGTCTGAGCAGTCAACCCTTTCCTTTCATCCAGAAATCAATCTATTGAACCAATATGCCTTCAAACTGCTGTTTTTCCTCGTGACTTTGACCACGCGCTGCCATCTTTCGACCTCCATGTCTGACTCTGTTCTCCTCCTCTCTCACACGCTCTCTGCCTTCGTCAACAAGGACAAAACCCGGCCTTGGAGGGAATATCGAACCTTTGACATACACTTGAGTTTTCTTTACTAGAGCCCCTTCAATGTAAAGCTCAACCCAGCACTGTAAAAGCCAAAACATAAATAAATTACATTTTCACAGCCTGCTGACTGCTGAGAGCCGCCTGTCCTCCAAACGGCAGAAACAAGAGATACCGACATGATCGAAATGTTTCCACTGGCTAGAAAGCTTCTACGTTTCTGAAACAAAGACTAACTTTGAGTATTTGTGGAAAAGACGGACCAATTTTTGTGAAGGTGATGATTATCTTTAAATGTGGCCAATATCTGTAATATAATAAATGCATTTAACCTCTATATTCTGACTTTATTCTCATAATGTTATGACTTTTCTGGTGATATCACAGCTTTAATCTCCATTTTTATGACTTTTCCCCTCCAATTTATAACTTAAATACATTAAATCACATTATGTTTGATTATTTCTCTAAATTTTGCTTTGATTCTTTTAATATTGTTGCTTTTTATTATGAAATCCCAGCTGTCTTCTTATAATAATACACGTTTTTCTATAAATATTACAACAGACTGAAGTGAACTAACGTTTTTCATTTTCAACAAGTGGCTGTAATAGTTTTGTTGTAATTTTCTGCCCTCCAACCCCACGTGTTTGACAACCAGGTGTGCAGCTCCACGCTCAGAAACCAGGCAGGGCGCTCCCAGCATACTGAGCAATTTTCCACTTTGCCCTGCATCGATTCCCCATTATGGCGATATCGCTCTTTTCACAGAGGCTTAACAAAGTACAGACACACACGCACACACGGATATACACACACCTGACATAGCTGTCTGTGGTGATGGATGGAGGAGTTTGATAGAAAAGCCGACCACTGTGCCCTGCTGGTGGTGCCAGGTGCTGTGTTAGTGGTGACACAGCAGAAAAACGGCGGTGTGTGTTCGTGTGTGTTCACCCTTTGTATACGTGTGTGTGCGCGTCTGTTTCAGGGGAATTAGGGCACTGCACCTGGCAGTAAGAGTCAGCCTGGTAAAGTGGGTGCACTGCAGTGGCACATTCACATTTATACAAATAAAAATTAAGATTTTAAAAGTTGAAAGTATGTTTCAAACGACGTAAAAATGGATTTTGAGTTTGATGATTTAACAAAAATGGTAACATTGCAAATCACTGTAAACCTTAACAGCATGCAGCCGTTCAACGACATTCAAAAGCCTCTGAATTTTAGCTTTAATATTGAGAGTTGTGAGTGTGACTGTACCTCGCAGGGCTGTAACAGTCTGTGTATTCCTACAGAATCATCACAGTATGGAGGTCACGGTCTGGTGCATGCAGCCACATGCAGAATACACAGCACATACACGGATGCACATAATGCAGAACCAAAGTTTACAAGCACGAATTCCGTGTTGGTGAGTTGGACAGGATTGAGATGGAAACTATGTTCTAGGTAAATTATGTCCAAAGTATGATTGTTTGAACACGCAGAGCACACCGACGGACAGTGGAGAAGTGGATTATGCTGCAGGAGCGGTTTGAGAAGTCTCTGCAGACGTCTGGATTTCTTTTTTCTTGTTTTTGCTGTAAAAACTGGGTCAGTGTCGGAATCCACTGTAACTACTGTGAATCCAGACTGACTGCAGCCGCTGTCACCTTTTAGAGAGGCTGAACTTTGACAGCTACCTTTCAACTCTACAGGGGGTGAGTGTCTGATGTTCCAAACATAGATTTTAAGAGGAGTACCTCTTTCAACTAAGGGGTTTACTTGTTTTTAAAGCTAGAGGTTCTTAAAGCCTTTGCACATCAAGTCCGTATTTTTCTTTATGCATTTTTTTCAATCTTAAATCTGATAAAGATTGTTACACAGAGACCTTGCACACTAAGTCTGATGCATTTTATTATTCTATTTGCTGCAAAATTCACGGACACATTTGCTCTCTTGTTTCACTCTGCTGGCGTTACCTTACTGGCTGTTGACACACTCTGCCTGCTTCTTGCATTTGACACTGCAGCCACCTGAGTCATGAAATCATACTGTATGGCTGTTAAACTGCTCTCTGCTGTAAGCATCATCATCGCTGTTGTGCAATTCTGGATAGGCTTATGCTACAGTCTCTGTTGTGGAAGATCTCAAGAAGGACATGGCTTCCAACTATTTCCACTTCATTTTCTTGCTGGTCCCCTGTCCACTTCTGTTCTGCTCCTCTCTCTTGCTGTGGATGTGTTGACTAATTCTTGGTCAGACGACTCCCTCAAGATGTTTTAATGGACGTGAAACAAATGGAGACAATCAAAAACGTGCTCTTATGAAAACTTTGATAAAGGGCAAAGTTTCAGAGACGGTTTGTAAACACGATTGACATACCGTGAGGTATTTATTTGTAAATGAGGTCATTGTTTTTGGAGCCAAGGAGGACAGCACGCAGCTTCAGTTGGCAATGTCAAAAACCACAGACCAAGCCAGAAATCTTGGTGCAGGCGTCGACTCAGACCTGAATATCCACATTTAGATAATTACAAAGTCAGCCTATTACCAGAACATATCAAGGATAAAAGGACTGGAGTCTCAGCAGGATCTGGATAAACTTGTCCATGCATTTATCTTCAGTGGACACAACTACTGTAACGGTGTCTTTAAGGGTCTCCCTAAAAATCGACCAGAAAGCTGCAGCTGATTCAGAACACTGCTGCTCGAGTCCTCACTAAGAACAAGAAAGTGGATGACATCACTCCAGTTCTGAGGTCTTCACACTGACTTCCTGTCTGTCAGAGAATGCATCTCTCAGTTCTTTTAAATCTAGGCTAAGACTTTTTCGGTTTGCCGCTGCCTTTTATTAAATCAATGTATTTTAAACCTGTCTTAGTATATTTTAACGAGTTTATATTTTTTATTCTCTTGCACTTTAATGGCATTTTAAATGTCCGTTTATCGCATTTTTTTTTAGCACTCTGCCTTGATGCTTTTCATGTTTTATGTAAAGCACTCTGAGTTACCTTGATGGTTGGGAAACAAAGCAGACAATCAAACCTGATCCAAAAACCATAATGTCGGAGGAAGGTTTGGAGTCTGTGTGTAAATATGATCGATGCAACATGATTATAAATGTTTTTGTTTTTAAATGAGATGAATGTTTTTGGAGCCAAAGAGGAATGATTAAATTAAGTGATGTATTTTTTGGACTGTTTTATGTAAAGCACTTTAAATTGACTTCTTGCTGAAATGTGTAATATAAATAAACTGGCCTTGCCTTTGAATGTGCAACAGTTTTGGATGAAAAATACGGACTTGATGTGCGAAGGCTTTAAATCTGAAACAAGGAAATTACATCTGAGTCTTTCAACAGTCTTTCTTGAACCCTTTTGACACTATATTGTTGTGATTATTCAGTGTTAAGTTGAAAAGTTTCACTGTGGTTAATGAGAAACATTTTCACTGAACAAAAATTATACTTCCCTCCCAGCAGAGACTATCATGAGTCTGGATAATAAGCTTTTCCAACATCAAACCACTTCCTTTTTCTTGTTGTGTCTCATTCTCATGTCCAATTTTTTGTGCATAGGCCAAACTATTGAGCAAAAAGTGCACAAGTCTGTCCAGATAGAACACAAAGCCAATTTTCTCCCTTGGCCACTGGATTATTTGGATGTTTATTCTCTCCTAACAGCCAATGAGAGACATAAGGTGTAAGTAGGTGGCTTCATGCACACGAATATTGTGTTGGGAGGATGTCTTGTCTGTGTTTGTGTGACAGCTTGGTACAAAGAATTCCTGTCTCTCCTTCTTACTTTCAATGCAAGTTCACCGACTTGAGTGAAAAGGCTTCAGAATTCGCAAACTTTCTCTTTAAGATTAAACATTTTCAATTCATGCAGACATGTCTTCACCTTGATTCTTGCATTCTACGGTACATTTGTTAACTCGCGTCTTTCCATTTTCTTAATACGCAATCACGATGCTGCTAAAATTTACTTTGCTTTCAGTCTTTTAGATACTTTTTGTCTGTTCTGACCTGCTGAGGGCTGATCAACAGGCAAATACAAATGATTTCGACAAAAGATCTCAAGTGTCTTAAAACGATACAGTCCTGTGTGGCACTTATTGATTCATGCACTTGGTGAGAGGGAATGTCAAGACAGTATGTGTGGTTTTTTTGTGTGTGAAACACGACTACATTAGAGGGACAAAAATGCTCCAGCTCTCCCCTGGAGGGTCTACAGATGAAACACTTGCTGCTGGGATAGACACAACACACACACACACACACACACACACAGCCCAGCGGTCCCACCCACAGCATGGGGCCAGAGGGAGAGGTCAAAGGTTAACTGAGCCAGGGTGTTAGGTCAGAAGGGTTAAACTGGACACTTTAGCACAGCAGTTGTGGGGTCAGCAGGGGAGGGGAATGGAGGCATTGTGTGGTCCAGTTACTGGTTGTGCGTGCAACATGTCTCGTGCCTTCGCCTGTCCCCCCTGCTCACGAGAGGGCTTGTGCATGTTGGCTTTGTGTGAGCGCGAAAACTGTGCGTGCGTCCGGCAGCGTGTGTATGAATGTGCGTCTTAAACAGCTTAATACCTAGCCAGTCGTTGAACTTCTTAACCTCGGAGGGCAGGCCCAGCTCGGTGAAGTCACCCATGTGCAGCAGCACGTCGCCGTAGGGCATCTGGATGCCGTCTGTACGCGAATGTGTGTCTGACACACACACAAACCTGGTGTGTCCTGCTGGCTTGGGAGTGTCATAAGGAATGGGGTCCACCCTGAAAAGACAGAGACAGAAAACGAATTTAAGCTCTTGACTCGATGTCATGATAAAATAATGATTCAGTAACAAAAGTATGGAGGCTTCTCAATCGTTATATTTTATTTGGATTGATTATAGTCTGACAAGTTTTAGATTCTAGTCTTCTGTGTGCTAACTGGTTGGTTGAACTTCTAATTAGATGTCACTATTTAAAGGTAGAGTATGAAGAATTGTTGGCTACTCTTTGTAAACACACTCGCCAGCAAAAGTGAAAGTAAAAGTCAACCCCAATTCATTCATCTGGTGTTTCACCCCCGCTGTATTTGCATTTCTTTTTTTGGCACTGTGTCTCTTGGATGCCTACTGTTTACGGTTTGGCACCTGGTCGCTACCTTTTAATAAAGCCCGGACCTCACCTGAGCACTGTGGGGAACACGCCCTATGCAGAAAAATACACAGCCACAGACTTCTAGTGGATCAAAAGTGATGACTGAGAGGGATTACATTGTCTTGCATCAAATCCTGCATAGTGCATATTTAATTTTGTGGAATTCTGACCATTTATTTATTGAGTACTATAATATGGGGCATTCTAGTAGCCTTGTAGTTAGGATGGACATCACATCGAGTGGTTTGAGTCCATACGGGAACTTTGTTGCATTACATCCCTCCTCTCTTACCTGATGCTGCTTTGAATAAAGGTTGCTAAACATATACTGGAAAAAAAACCTGGGACAAAACAGTAAATTCTGCATCACTGGGTCAAGTTTTATAATGCCAGTGACTCTGTTTCACTGAATTCAATTCAGTTTGTATTTCAGCCCTGCAGTGATGCAGACTGTGAGACCAAGGACCTGCTGTCATTCATTCTTTGTGCAGTTTTCACATACCAAGATACTCAATGACTTACACCTCTGTTATTGTGGTAAATCAAGAATTATCATATCTTTGCTACACTTTCTTATACTCTGATCTGTCAATCACCTGACCCTACAAAAAGGGGAAATAATACTTTAACACGCTGCCTTACAAACTGTTTCAAGTTGTAATTGAGTAATGTTAGTGATTAAATAATATAAAATGATACTGTGAAAATGATGACAGAGTTAAACAATCTGTAACTGTAAACAATTATGTTCTCCTTTTCGATGAGTCATGATCGTGTAGACAGGTTTATAATTGCTGAAGTGCAGGAATTGCAGGTGTTCACCCTCAACAGTTTGTGAATATTTTCAGTCCTTGATGTTTGCAGACATTTTACTGACTTTAAAAAATGTCTTTAGCGCCTTGGCTGTGATTTTCATAATGTTTTCAGTCTGAAAAGTGTTGCACAAATTTTAAGAAACTGATTTCTAACAGGTCAAAAGACACTGTCAACATTCAATTATGTTTAATTCCATGCTGTCACCAACAAAAAGACCAAACCTGACCGATTTTCCAAGGAATGGATTTTTCCTGTTATTTATGAGACATCTGCCTTTGGTTTTATTTCATAATCCTGAACATTATTATCTTTAAAAAGAGCTGCAATTCAAAGAACATGCCCTTTCTCCTCTTTGTGATAATTAATAAAGGTGTACTCGAACCAGAGGCATATTTTTAGGATGCTAATTTCAGACCAGACAGTGGAAGGGGCACAGCTGAAAACTGCACCCTTTAAAAGACCATTTGTTGTGCAAAATAAATTATATATTCTACAGAATAATGCATGCATCAGAGCCAAATGCATCTCAAAGAAAAGACGAGACATTACAACGGTGTACAAGATGTGTGGTTTGGGCCAGAAAACAACCAGTGCCCAAGTTGATTTGTACACACAAGGAGGCCAATGGCTGTTTTGTGGCATCAGATTGGCTAAAGAGATGGTGAATTAAGGCATGCCATGTCCTTTCTATCCATTATCTAAAGAAAAAACACTTAGACCCAAGTCTGGCTGGAAAAAACCTTTTATTCAGCTTTTTTTGTTCAATGTAAGTACGTCTGTTAAAAGGAAGAAAAACCTGTACTTTTTCACTGACTGAAAGGAAAAGAGGAAAAAAAAATCATCTTGTCTGTAATTGAAGTCTACAATGTGCAATCCTCCAGCACTCTGCCACTAGACCATTATTTCATTAGAAGGGATGTCACTCCGTCGAAAACATGAGACACATAATCAACGCTGCAATCTCCAACCTGACAAGCACACGCACACACAGAGTTAACTCGCGTGTGTGCACAAACATGGCATGAAAACAGCCAGAGAAGCAGATGAAATCAAAAGGTTTCAGACTGGAGAAGATGTCATTACCAGAGAAGGAGAAAATAGGCACCTTGGCACAAAGGAAAATCTTGTTGGGGGGGTAACATTGCATTTGAGGAGTCTCATTTGGGAAGCAATTTTCCTTTTTTCTGCGGCATATTGAGAAGAATATTAGACGTAGAAAAGGTTCACAAACAGTGTCGAATCTGTTGTTCTGGTTTTGAGTTGAAACAGTTAGCTAGTTCATATTAATGGTGGCACAACGTAGGACACCCTGGTCACCATCTGTAATGTGCAGCCACCGAATGTAGTTTGGATAAAATTTTCTATCCTGATATACAAATTTCAGGTGTCTCTGAAAGGTTGTGATGTACCATGAACCTACAGAGCAGCTTCAGTGCTCCTTGTCAACTCTCTGAACTCTAGTCGAGGGTTTAACACCACTCTTGCACAAGATAGTCCCTCATTTGGAGAGCAATGTCTTAACATGTTGCTCCAAAACCTCCAGACAGGGTTTCAACATTTTAAGGTAAGTCAGAGGTTAGACTTTTTTAATGACACTTGAAATGAAATTTAAGAAAAAATCCTGTAAACTGATACTTAGAACTTTTTTGTCTCGTGGTGGAGACGAAGGTAAAACAGAACCGGAAAATACCTGGTATGCATTGCCTTGTACCAGTTTCAGCCATGCTACATTATCTTTTTAAAATAGTCAATTTTTGTTGAATTTGCACTCCTCCATGTTGTGACAACTAGCTGGCAGACAGCAGATCCTCTGCTCTGAGCATCCCTGCAGGAAACAAAACTTCAGTGTCTGCTGACTCTACCATCTTGAGCTTTGACAACCAAGAGAACTTATGCAAATTATGCCAGAAAAATTGATGTTACCAATTATTTTGAGTTTTTAAAATGCAGCGTCAGAAAAAAGTTCTTCATAAAATCCTACTTCCCATATCTTAGCATTTTTAAGTCTTTTAAAAGATTCATTTAAGACTCAATTTTCTGAAAATGAATTTGGAATCTGACAAACTATAGGTGTGAATTTCATTGTCTAATCCAGTTACGTAAAAAACCTGAAACTTCATCTGTCAAGGTCCAAGGTTCAAGGTTCAGTATATCGTCATTCAAACATGTTAAAAACATGAGGGAGCTAAATTCATTACCCAGGTTCAACAACGTAAAGAATAAATAACATTTTAAGATAGACCTATAATAAATAAATAATATACTTCACACACATTGCTGTTACTGATTCACAAGACTGACTAGACAGACCCAATACAACCACAGATATTAAAGAGATATATACCTTCGTAGTAACAGCATGGCAACGTCAAATTACTGTTGTGTCACTGAACATGCCACCTTATCGCACAAATCTCGTCCACTGCCACTGCCTGTGGTCTAGCCACCATTTGTAATCACCATCTGTGATCAGTGGCCACTGTCTGCACCAGCAGCTGCATACTTGCTGCGTCTCGAGTCCCCCCACGAGTGTGTTTTTTCTGCCTCAGCAAAACTGAATGAACTGGAAGCTTTGGGGAAGAAGAGGCTGCTCAGAATCTTTACTCTGACAAAGACAACAGCAGTGCCTGAAATTCAGCACCCCCATACATTTGAGTGAGGAGACTGTGTTGATGCAGTGGGGGTGCCAACGCGGAGGGTTTGGGTAAAAACATGCCGGCTGGACAATTAAACACACATTGTGACGTCATACATCATCACATACATGCAACTGCAAGATACTGGTAAATCACTTAAAGGGACAGTTCACCCCAAAATCAAAAATAGATATTTTTCTTTTTACCTGTAGTGCTATTTATCAGTCTACATTGTTTTGGGGTGAGTTGCAGAGTGTTGGCGATATCGACAGTAGAGATGTCTGCTTTCTCTAAAATATAACAGAAATAAATGGCACTCTGACTGTGGCAGAAATTATGACCCGGTTATTTAAGATAATTCACAGACTTTATTGCGAGCAGTTTCACGTAGGAAATTTTTTCTTTCTATCGTCCAGCGTGCATCTACTGCTAGCTCACCTCGCACCACTGAGCTAGCTAACGTTACAGCTCAGTTTGCTGTCTCAAGCATGAGCCTCCTGTCCATGTGTAGATGCACAATTCATTCTATGTAGTGATACGACTGGTGGATGAAGTGGGGGGGAGAAAGAAAATAGTTCCTACATGAAACTGCTCACAACAAAGTCTGTGGATTATCTTGAATAACCAGGTCATGATTTCTGGAAAGAGACATCGCTGTTAAGTTTTCAAATCATTTAGTTTTTTGGCGGTTTGAGCACCATGAGCCGAGCGCCATCTAGTTCCATTACACTGGAGAAAAGGCAGACATCTCTACAGCCAATATATTCAACGCTCGATTGATAGATTGATAAACAGCACTACAGGTGATGATGTGTTTTTGATTAAGCACTGAACAGCCTCTTTAATGTGAACACCACATGTCTACTGTTTACCTTCAACTGAAAGATACAATCTGTGTCACTGTGGTAAGTTTCCAGAGCAAGTCCTTCTACATATTATTAACTGCTGTGCATTGTTTTAGCATCTGATAAGTCTTCGAAGCCATGGATCAGTTACTCAAATTGGACATCCTAGATCGTATCTTATTGTTTTACCTGAATCTAGGATTGAGTCTGCTAATTCTATTTTCTTGTTTGCAGCCTGCACTCAGTCAGTCGTCAGTATTTGGTAGCCGCTGGTCCTGTTGCTCCTTTAAACCTTCAGATACACAGGAGCAGAGCGAGCTTCTCAGTCACC